TTATTGGAGAAATGAGATAATTACCATAGATTGAATTGGAGAATTGTCATTGTACACTTTGAACTAACTTATTATCTAACAATCAGTTTAGAAAACTTAAGCGCCGTATGTCAGTCAGTCAGTTGCAACGTAGAACTTCGTACGTATGTATATAAGTTCATGTTGACATACCACATTAGCACAGAGACGAAAATGTCAAATCAAATACCATAGTGATAAAGATAGTAGAGGTATTAATTAATGGTAATGAAGAAGACTAGGGTTTGAAGATATTATTTAGGAAGTATAATTAAGTGAGATAAGGTTAGAAAGACAAACGTAGTGGTGCTGACGAATCCAGAAGATTAGGATTTGAGTGAACACAAAGAATGGATGCACTTGCGCTATTGCAAACGATTCTCAGCCATGTCGTTTAAGGTCTCTAACCATCGGTGACTTTCGTCTCGCGGACCCCAACCAGGTAGTCTACATCTACCAACATGACTCAGTCCACTAGTCAGTCAATGACTTCATGGATTTCTGCCATGTTTTGGTTTGGCCGCCCCTAACTTTCTTCCAACCTACTCCTACACCACAAAACATAGCTCGTCTAAACAGTCGGTATGTTCAAATCCTAAAAGAGTAGTAGGTGCAAATTGTTAAGCAGTTGCAAAACAGAACAAAAGAGTTGTTCAGTGCCCCTCTTAGGTTTTATTAGTATTTCAAATGTTGATATTTCGTGAAGAATGTTCGGTACAAATAAAATCAATTTTCATAAACCTCTTAAGCATAATAAAATAGTCATGTGAATAATCAGTACATAAATAAGTTTTCAAAAGTGTGTGAATAGCATGCTAATGGAAATGAATATTTGTGTAACAGTAAACTCGTTTTTTAAGTATTCTCTCTAATTTTCTTTTTTGTACATCCATGTTTTGTTGGTATTTGTGGATCCTGTAGTATGCATTGGTGATCATTAGTTGTACCATATGTCTTCCATTTTGCTCTGCTATTCTTCATCTCATTGGGCAGTTGATTGGTGGTCTGCATTTGATACTTCCTGGGAGAAGATGCTGACGAAGACATTCGTGGAGAATGTGGAGTTGTCTTCGAGTGGAAGTTTGCTTTCTTTGGATGAAATTCTCCCATTTTTCAAACAACGAAAAGAGTGTCACCCTCATATGATTTTGAGTTGGTTAAGGAAATTTGTGGCTCAGGTGGATGATTGTTGTGGTGGTACATTCTCTGAACTAGATGTTTTGGTTGTGGAGCTTTCATTGTTCTGCTGAACAACATCATCAGCACAAACTTCTATTGTTCAGAAAATCAATGAAAGCTCCACAACCAAAACATCCAGCTCATAGAACAAAACACCACAGTAGACTCTCTTTCTAACTGTTAAACAGTCTTTTAATAGGTTACCAATTTATAGCAGATCTTGAGCCTAAATCTTAATGTGAATTATACATCTTCATTGAAATGTACTTACATCTGGTCAATATGGTATAAGCAAGGTGTGCCAAATTTCATGATTAACCAACACAGAATATATATTGTATATGTACTGAACTGAATAGAAAATCATAGACAGAATTTTAAAACAATGAAGAATAATTTAAGTTTACGCTAACACTTGAATGGTGTTATGTTCTCCGATTCAAAGGTCGATATGAGTTAAGTGCTGATGATGTCGTTTAGAACAACAATGAAAGTACAGTTTATTGAACCTAATACAGATCACATTATTAATAAGGAACGAGATTCAATGAATAGCTTTCTTTCAGTTCATTTGCAATACAAAATTATAACAGTAAAGTATTTTAAAATAAATAACAAGTAGTTAATAATAGAATCCAATTAGTGTAAGACCTTTTGTTTCAGTTCCCGATTGTTTCAATACACTTGAATGTAAATAGATTAATTTGTTTACTAAACATAAAGTTTATCATACATTAGCATTAAAAGCCTTACACAATGGTGGTACTGTGGTGCGCGCTACTTATAAGTAGTATATGACACGAGTGTAAACGTAATGTCTGGCAGCAGAAGATGGGAGAACATCAAGAAGAAAGGAAGAGTGGGAACACAATGGAATTTGTATGAAACGCATGAATAGTGACAATGTCAGATCATGGATTGATGATGAACTGATATTTTGCAAATTAACGATTTACGATATGGTTTTCCTATTTTACTGAGTAACTCTGTAATTTTCGTTAAATACAATCGGTTGCCCTCACCTGTGTTCTCCTTCACTACACTACTAGTTACTTACATTCATTTAGATTACAACGTCTTAACTTCCATTCTTTATTATCTGAATTGAATCAAAATAATTTCGTTTCTTTGAGATTAAATAATTCAGCAAAATCTTATTCAGTTTAAATTCGATATTCTTCACCAAAATATAAATGAACTTCGAAGATCAGTTGGTTTTATGATATTTACTACGTCTTTAAACATTAATAAACTCTACGCTGTTCTGTCATCATTTTCAAAACAGAATTATAATACTTGTTAGCAAAAATTCATAAATGAAAGAAATTCAACTCATTCTAATCTGTCAGTCAGTCAGTTAGATGCAATGTAGAACTTCGTACGTAAGTACATCAGTTCATGTTGCCATACAACATCAGCATAGAGATATAATTGTCAATTCAAATCCAATAGTAGAAGAGGTTGTAAACGTATTAGAAGTAATCGAAGAGATTAGGATTAGAAGATATTATTCAAGAAGTATGATTAAATGAGAAAAGTTTAGAAAGTCAAAACTAGAGAGGTTGAAGAATCAATAAGATTAGGATTTGAGAGAATACAAAGAATAATTGCACCGGCGCTATTGCGAACGATTTTGAGCCATGTCATTCAAGGTCTCTAACCATCGATTATTGTCATCTCGCGGACCCCAACCAGGTAGTCGACAACTACCTACATGACTCAGTCTACTTGTCAATGACTTCATGGATTTCTACCATGTTTTGGTTTGGCCGCCCCTAGCCTTCTTCCAACCTATTCCTACACTACAAAACAAAGCTCATCGAGGCAGTCGGTGGTTAGGTATACACAGCACATGTCCCAGCCACCTCAACTGATGAAGTTTCACTACTTCATCTATTGATTTGCCATCCTTACCTAGCCCCCGCTTCCTAATAACAGCGTTGCTCACTCGGGTATCCCAGCATATACGAGCAATGCTTCGAAGACACCTATAATCGTAAACCAATGACCAACGAATATCTTCTACTCTCATTGGCCATGTTTCACAACCATAATCATTCTAATCTACAAAAAAAAAAGTAATAAGTAGTTTAATTATATTAACTAAAATGAAAATTTTTACATTATGAATTTCATTTATATGACATTCAAGTTTTCTCTTTCTATACAGAGATAACTATGTTTTCTTGTAACCTTTTACCATATATATATATATATATATATATATATATATATATATATATATATATATATATATGAATGACATGGCTCAAAATCGTTCGCAATGGCACCGGTGCATTTATTCTCTGTGTTCTCTCAAATCCTAATCTTCTGGATTCTTCAACACCTCTAGTTTTTACTTTCTAAACTTTTCTCATTTAATCATACTTCTTGAATAATATCTTCTAATCCTAACCTCTCTGATTACTTCTAATACCCTTACTAACTCTTCTACTATTGGATTTGAATTGACAATTATATCTCTATGCTGATGTTGTATGGCGACATGAACTGATGTACTTATGTACGAAGTTCTACGTTGCAACTGACTGACTGACTATAAGCGAACAAGATTATTGTTTTCGATTAGATCGTCATCAGGCTGCTTTACTCTCTAATATGTACATGAATATTTATGAATGAAAATGTTAAAACCAATCAAGGCAATTCATGAGTGATAATCACAATGAAATGAAAAAGGCAAAAGTACAACAAGTGGATAGGTAGGAAGATAGGTGAACCGATAGTAGTAGGGAAAATTTATAAAATATGATAACTAAAGTAGGTCAAACGTCGATGAATAGAATTTAAATAATCATCAAAAAACATCAAAAACATTACGTAATAAGCAAATGTGTAAAAATAAAAATAAAAAATATAATGTCAATCGTTAGTTACGTCATATCCGGCCACGGAAGAGATAGGGGTGTCACGAATTTCTTCTGAACACATAAATTGTGGTTGAATGTACGAACTCCTATTGATTCTGCTATGTGTAGGAGACGGGATCGAACTCCGTTGGGAAATGATGGAGGTATATGATAGATCACCCGAAAAGATCTAGATTTATCTACAATGTGACCACTATCTACCAGGTGTGCTAAGATAGAACTGCGTATTGTTTTTCACTGACCCTTCGAAAACCATGCTGGGAGATGTTCACTCATTTGTTGGTTAAGTTGTCTGGTAGAACACCCGATATAGCTATCTCCACAGGAGCAGCTGAATTTGTAAATGCACATAGAGAAGGCCAAATCAGGTAACTTATCCTTCGTTTGAGTAGACATCACTGGTCGACAGGAGAATATCAATGCAAGTTTGGCAGCGTTGAATGTTCTATTAATTACTCTTATTAATCTGTCCTGCACAGTATCGTATATTAGAGTAAAGCCTAATGACGATCTAATCGAAAACAATATTGTTCGCTTATATGTGTTGTTCTAATTTTCACAATGGGAATCTTTAATATATATATATATATATATATATATATATATATATGTCATTGAAAACTAAATTTTTTTTATTGTTCTCCCTTCATATGAAGCTATCTATACACATCCTTGTCACTGAACTTGAAAAGTCATCAAAGATCAATAAAATGAATTAGTTTATGCTTGCTTTTAAATAATATTAATGTGTATGACTGATTTTTTTTTCGCCTCATCAAGTCATCATCGAAAGTACACACAAAAAAACCTAATCAGATAAACAAAAAACGAATACTTGTGAATCAATAATATACTAGTAGAATTATTTAACAAACTAAACTAATTATCGTTCTGATAAATGAATTGATAACAATGTATACTACTACTACTACTACTACTACTACTACTACTACTACTACTACTACTACTACTACTACTACTACTACTACTACTACTACTACTACTACTACTACTACTACTACTACTACTACCACTCCTACTACTACTACTACTACCACTCCTACTACTACTACTTCTACTACTACTACTACTACTACTACTACTATGACTACTACTACTACTACTACTACTACTACTACTACTACTACTACTACTACTACTACTACTACTACTACTACTACTACTAGAGCTGACGAACAAGAAAATTAAACTCAACTTTCATCATTTTTAAACTAGTAGGTGCTTTACTTTGGTTTAATTATTTGAAAAGATCAAAGATGAAAGGAATATTGATCTGTTAGGGTTCGTCATTAAGTACGCTTGAAGCTATTACGAGTTCAACTTAGTCGATAAACGCGAACGAGACAATGAACCAGAGTCCAGGTAAGCTACCTTGATTTTAAAACTGCAAAGAGAAGTCTTGATAAGCGTAGAAAGTATATTCTACAAACACCCAGCAAGCACACAAATAGCGTTTATTTATACCCCATAGAGACGTCATTGGGACAGTCACAAAAATAGCACACTAAAATAACACAGTAACCAATCATAGCCAAGGATTTTCCTGGTGGGAGATGTGATCTCAAGGTCAACTGATCGACCCATGAAATAAATCCAAAATAACGATATTTATCAGCCGAGTTCTGGGGATCTAACGTCCCCAACATGATCTTTTCGTGCTGAACCTATTTACATTTAGATAAACAGTTTCATTCATAGAGGATCTTTTGATATTAGCCAGCAACACATAACTGTATGTTTTTATTAGTTAGTTGAAAATATCAGTTAGCAATTAATTGATTAACACGGAAATCAATTACAGAAGTCATATACTAACTAATGTTTTACATTCAGATAATAATACTAATAATTAAAATCAAAATTTTACAATTAGTATAAAATGATTTAATGTGTGTTTAAAAAGTGTATTCGATGTATTTGATTAAACAATCAATAAATTCAGACACTGAATAACAATGAATATAGTGAATGATCATCATTCAAGAAATTGAAAATCTTAAAAAAAAAGTTAACCTTTGCACTCACTGATTTACCTTGTGATTTCTAAAGTTCACAGATAGTATTATGATGAAAGGGTGAATTATCAATTTTGTACATAGGTGATAGTGTATTCAATTGTCTAAGATATTTGTGACACTAACCTATCTTTGTTCAATTCATTTCGATTTTAATTTATTACAGGTAATCGTGTTACATACACTAACAGTTTGATTTGGTACAGCACAGAGATTGAGGTTATTTATTTCTCAGAAAATCTGTGAACTAATAAAATCTGTTCAAGGAATAAAAGAATATTAAGTAACTACTATTTGGGTGAGCCGTTTTAATGAATTTATTTATCCTGAGGATAGTACTTTTACTAGATAAACACTATTAAAGCGTGAAAACAAACTAAGAAAATATTTCAATAATGTTTGTGACTTCAGTCCACAGAGTATTCTTTTTACTTGTAAAATAAATCTAAGTTTTACTCTCTTATAATTCATTTAACCGCTATCATATATTAACAGTTTGTGTTCATACACTTTCGATAAAATCATTCACCTTCCTCAATAAAACAGTTAGGCTGAACTTTTCAGGATTTAATTTAAAACTATCCATATGAGTTGGTAAAATCCATACCAAATAATAACAGGGGCTAACATTATCTGTTTAATTCTCTTTCGAATTGCAACTATTTAGCAATTTGGTATTGATATACTCGTCAATTGATATGCTTAAATGCTATCACGAGTTCCTCTTACTCCGTAAACGGAGCGCAGATCAGCGATGCAGTGACACGATAGGCTATTCTAATCCGTTGTTCCCGGCCCGGCTAACTATATCAAGGAGTCTTTTTAAGGCACAGAGAGTGTATTCTATAAACACCCAGAAAATATGAGGTGGCTAAGCACACAAATCGAGCTTATTTATACAATGATAGAGACACCCTTGGGAGAGCCACAAAATAGTGTACTAAAATAATCCATCAGCCAAGTGGGAAATGTGAGCCCAAGATCAACCTAAGCCACTTAGTCACGAAAACGAAAAAAAATCCAAAAATAAGAACTTTTCCAAGTGAGTTCTGAGGATCTAACGTCGCCAACAGGTAAAAAAATTTCATCTCGTCACGATGCAGTATTATATGTAAGATCAATCATAAATTGTGATTTTTCGGTGACCGATGCTTGGAACTTTCTGATGTTTATAAAGTAATGCATAACATTTAACATTGAAATCACACACAGATTCCTGTCATATATTAGGCTACAACTACTCTTGCTACTAACACTACCAATACTACTACTACTACTGTGGTGCGAGCTACTTACAAGTAGTATATGACGTGAGCGTCAACGTAATGTCTGGCAGCAGAAGATTAGGGAAGATCAAGAAAGGAAGAGTTAGAACACAATGGAATTCTTATGAAACGCATGAATAGTGAAATGTCAGACAATGAATTGATGATGGATTGAAGATTTTCAAATTAACGGTTATGATATGGTTTTCCTATTTTACTGAGTAACTCTGTAATTTGCGATAAATACAATTCGGTTGTCCTCACCTGTGTTCTCGTTCACTACACTACTACTACTACTACTACTACTACTACTACTACTACTACTACTACTACTACTACTACCTCAAGTCGAAATAAAATCTACTGCATAGATTTCAATAAGGCTATTAGTTTTATTTATTCATAAATTTTCAAATTATTTATACATTTTAAAACAAATAAAGCAAAAAGGGCAATCTCATACTTTTAAAACAAATGAATTTTATTAAATGTATCTTACACAAATCTAATTAATGAACAATTGTTAGCAAAAGTAAAATATTCATCCACCTAGGAAGCAAGAAGCACTGACAGTTATTTTAAAAAATTGAAAGTAAAACGTTTAATTAAATTTAATGAATATGAATTCTACTACTACTAAGCTAATGCAATCAATTAAAAATAAAATAAAAAAAAACGACAATAACCTTGAAAATAAATTAGAGAAAATATGCACATTCTGATTGGTCAGTTTGTAAAATTGAAAAATTAAACAAGCTGACGAGGATAGTTTGTTTTCAGTTTTCAGTTTTTTTTTCTATCTATCGATATGATGGATGCGAGAGAGAGAGAGGAAAAATTAGGAGAAAGTAGCAAAGTTAACCAGAACGACGACACATACACCAACTATAATAATATATTTCATTAGAAGTTGACATAAAGATTTCTAATTAGTCATTCTAGATAGATAATCGCAAATTTTATTTTTTTTTTAGGATCTACTACTAATTAGTGTTAGTGTTATAGTAGATAATTTGAATTTCACAAATAATTGCTTTTCATTATACAGTTTGTTAGTTGTGAATACACACATCAATGAAAAAGTCACCGCTTTATTGTATAGTATTGGTAATTGAAACACGAAAACTCATTAGCAATGACAGTAGTTAAAATAGCTATTGTAAGTGTAGACCTAACTGATATTAATTCAGTAAATAATTTATTTTAAAAAAATAAAATATCATTAGTGTAAGAATTGCTCATATTGTATTGTATCGTAAAACATTTCACTGAACTTTATGGAGATTTTTTTATCCAATCGGAAATCACATTATGTGGTTGGAACAAATTAAGATTTATGTTTTATGCCAACAAGAAGTTTCAAAAAATTCTTATGTGAAACTGATACTTGTCTACAGAATGAACCTCTTGTCAATGACTTATATATAAGCAAGTATCGCATTGTTGATATTTTTAGTATAGGATTGACCTACTACAGAACCCGGATGCTTACACGAATCAAACACTTAAACTGTGACCAATGTTATATTGTCAATCTCATTGAATTCTACTGATCAAGTTATGATATGATCATTGAGCCAAGTGAATTGAGATTACTAACACGTTGAAAGTACAATGATTGTAAAATAAATTTCATAAAAATTGTTTTGCATGAAGTTAACTCTATAGAACCAAATGTGATTAGTGGTAATAAAAGACTATTTAGTGATGAATATATGTCTAGGAAAAGTCCTTTTTTAACTACTAGCGAATAAGTTCACAAACGGTGAAAGAAGCTACATGATGATCACATGAAAGAAATAAAGAATCAAAGAGTCAGTCAGTCAGTCAGATGCAACGTAGAACTTCATACGTAAGTACTAATGAAATTGCATTCTCAGAGTTCGTTTTAATTATAAAATCCTGTTTGCGTACAGCTGTAATTTTATAATTATATTTCTACTTTTGCCATGTTAATATGAGTTGTTTACTATAAACTGTTTCTTATTTGCATTGATTACCTAAATGCTTAAATATTTTATCCCAAGAGTCTCCAATTATGAACACGTATAAAGTACGCTACAAAAACAGTCAGTCAGTTGGATGCAACGTAGAACATCGTACGTAAGTTCATCAGTTCATGTTGCCATACCACATCAGCACAGAGATGTAATTGTCAGTTTAAATCCAATAGTAATAGAGGTAGTAAAGGTATTAGAAGTAATCCGAGAGGTTAGAATTAGAAGATATTATTCAAGAAGTATGATTCAATGAGATAAGAAAGTAAAAGCTAGAGGTGTTGAAGAACCCAGAAGATTAGGGTTTGAGAAAACACAGAGAATAAATGGACCGGCGCCACTGCAAACGTTTTTGAGCCATGTCATTCAGAGTCTCTAACCATCGATTATTATCATCTCGCGGACCCCAACCAGGTAGTCAACAACTACCGACATGACTCATTCCACTCCTCAATGACTTCATGGATTTCTACCATGTTTTGGTTTGGCCTCCCCTAGCTTTCTTCCAACCTAATCCAACACTACAAAACAAAGAATCAAAGAGGAACTGATTTCTATGAGTTTATGTGGTGTGCATAGTTTAAATCTAAGACTCAACAACCTACAATAAAACTTGATGAATTTATACATCATGCAAAGGCACTGCATGTTTCAGCTTCAATAATTTCTGTGTAAAATATTCTTTATTTTAATCCACTCAATATTCACTGAATAATAAGTTTAATCATTTCAAGGTCATTTACTGGATTGTTCATGATTTACAAAATAGCACAGTCATACCTATTCGTTGCTTTTGTTACACAGAGGATAAGAATAAATATATATATTATTGACTTCATCGACTGTTACTCCGTATTGTAAAAAATTATACAGCTGAATATGAATAAGTAAATCAATAATATTTCGGTCGT